TACACCACCTATAAAGCTATTTGACCTACTAAGTAAGTAGTGCAAATAGTAAAATAGGTGGTGTAAATAGAATAACCCTGCAATTATATAATGTGTGGTTGAGTGGAAATGACTCATCCAAACTTCAAGGGCTCTTGGCTTTGAATATGGAGTAATCTTAAATCTCCAGACCAACTGTCTTACCTTAGAACATCCATATCAGTGGTGGATTTTACACAATTTTTTAGTTGACATTAGTAGAGAGAGGAAGGAGAACAAAAACGGATGAAAAAAAAAAAACAATTAATCTGACACAGAAATCAGAAAAAAAAAAAAACAAAAAACAAAAAATTAAAAAAAAAAAAACAAAAACAAAAAACAAAAAACAAAAAAAAAACAGTAGTTAACGCACCAGCAGGTGCCTACTGTCACCCACACGTAGGGCGCTTGTTGTCCGATTGTTTTCCTTTCTCAAATTATGGACCCCACAAAAATTTAGCTCTTGCCAACCTCCACATCAGTTGAAAAATCAAGCACCATTTTTTACTTCTGAAAAAATCATAAAAAATTCACAGTTGTGGATGCTCTTAGAGGTGCCTACAATTCAGCCAGGGGATTAGTCACCGTGTCCGACGGTGGATACCCTTACGCCCAAAAAAAATATAATGTTTGGATCTGTCAAGTGGCAACACTATATGAATAATAACTATCTGATGTTACAAGAATAATTGGGAGACATCTCTCATTTGTGCCCAAGGCTACTATTATCTCCATATCAAACAAACTATTCATTATTTGTATTAGCATCTCTTGAATAAAAGGAAAAAGGAGAAAGAGAAGATAAAAGGGCCTTGCAGTAGAGGTCATCTACTCAATATTCATTTCAGACTTAATGTAATTCTATATGTAAAGGTAGACCTCAGCACTGCCTTGTGACATGATCAAAATTCAAAAGCACTAGAGCTTCCAGTTAGTAAATTGTGCACCTTTTCCATTGCCATTTTTCTTATCATACTGTTCCCAGAGTTATTCAGTCTTGTGAGATCGAGTTTTCAACATTTGTGTCACAATGGAGTTAACATTACTATAGTTGAAAATACACAAAACCAATTTAAAGCAAAACCAACCTTGGAATGCAACAAACTTACCTTATCAAATTGCTTCTCAGGCTCTGCTAGATAGTTTTGGCTCTCTTTATAGGTCCATGCTCTACAATAAGATAAAGGAGATTAAGTAAATAAGGGAAAGGGATCAGAGTAGTTTCAAACTTCTTCCATTCTTATTAGTGTACCAGGGTCATGATCTGTGTTGAGCAATCAAATAAGCAAGACCACACGCTTTAATATATTCTGGGAAAAAAAAAAAAAAAACCCTAAAAAAAACATTTCATTTGTACATTCAAAAAGTGTTTGTATAACCACCTTGTTTTGGCAAGAGACCTGAGACCAAAATCTGTAGACAAAATGCTTCCATTTGCAATCAGGTATAAGTGTTTCTCTAATATCCATGATTCCTGTGTGCAAGTTAACACATAAATCAACATCAAGATGAATCTTAAAGGAAATAATATTGGGAGGAAAAAAAAAAAGGAACTGTAAGAGCTATAGTTAAACTGAAAGAATATCTCATTGAGAGGAGAAATGAGCTTGGCCATTGATGCGAAAAGGCTGACACATCTGTCATGAGCCAGCCTTAACACAGGCTGCTCTAAGAGTAAGACTTCTCTTTGCTGATAACTGAAACTACAAAGTAGGAAGATTGTTAAGAATAAAATATATTCCCTTTGCTGACGCTCAATCTATCCAGAGAAGATGACAAGGAACAAAGAGGTAGCAGCCAAATGACTAAAGGAGTTCCAGAAAGTGGGGCATAGCAAAATTAGGGTGACTCCACCAGATGTGTTAATATCACCAATATATAGTGATGTACCTTCTCAGTGTGATTTCCATAATAAAAAATACCTCCTCAGGAGCTATCAAGGCGCATCTGCAAAGAAAAAATAGGTAGATTTAAATGCATGTACTCCAAGATGACACAGGTTTTCCACTCTCTTTCTTTGTAACACAACGTCAAGCTGATATATAAGATGAGACAGCTCTTACCTAATGTAGATAAAGATTATACGGAGTAGTAATTAACACCCCCCCACCCCCCACCCCTCCTCCCCAAGGGATATTTAAATATAAAAGGAGAATGGAAAGGAAGTTCATTCATATCTTACTAAGAAGTTCAAAGCAATATTGCAGAAGGCGCTAGGCGCTAGAGTATTTTATTTTTTTTTAAAAGGCAGTGAGTTGTGAGTTGTGAGTTGTTAGATTGTTATAATCCCCTAAACCAGTCAACTACATATGTTAGACTTTAGTTGAGTACCTGGCTGGAGGAATATGGAAGAGGAGAAGCCGAGTAGGCGATGATGTACAGGTGAGGTAATTAAAAAAAAAAAAAAAAACACTTGGCCAAGTTGGCCGCCTAGGGGTGAAATCCCCTCGGCCTAGGGGCGCCTAGCGACTAGTCTGATTTTTACAACATTGGTTCAAAGTCAGAAAGTAGTTTTGCTATCAAGCTGTACTCCTGCAAAAGTTGATTTTAGGACTTAATTATGTTATAAGCACAAATTTTCTAGGTACCTGCTGGATATTTCTTGCAGCAGATTGCATGCATTCCATAACAATGGTGTTCTCCATCTGGGTGAGATGCATATGGATGATCTAATCCAGAAGGTAGGGGTTGACAATGCCAGCAGAAAAAGAAAAAGGGAAAACAATTAGTCAGTTTGAAAAATGAAGCCATTCGGACCTCATCTTGTTTTCCTAAAAAATAATTTTAAAGGAAATTTCGGGGTTAGTGGGGGAAAAGTAGGAGTATTGATGCACATAGATTAGTAGATTACCATCAAGGAAGAATAAAGATAACATTCAAAAGGGAATTTCAGTGCATTCTAATGAATAAAGGTATAGTATGTTGAGAGCCAAAATGTCAATGAATTAAGGTCCAGATGAATATGGCAAAATGTCAATGTTTATGTAGCCTCCCTGCTTAAGGCTCCGATATGAGGGCCAGAAGTTCAATGAAACAAAAGATGCAGTCCAAAAGGAGTAATGGCAACCATGCACTTTTGAGATTGTGGATGCTGGTGATAATTTATGGTCCAGATGAATGATGTGGTGATGTGGTGATGTGGTGATGTGTGACTTCCTGACAAGTGACAATTAACAGAGTCACAAGCAAGTCCCATGTCAAAAAAATAGAAGTCCATATGCATAAGTTAAAAGTTAGAAATAAATCCTCTAACAAAAGAACAAAACAGATGAATTATGACACAAAGGTGGACAATTTTCACTTCTTTCAGCAGTTTTTATGACATTAGTAACCCTCGTATAACAAATTCAGTGCTTGAGGCTTCAACTTCCACTGCATTTTTCCTTTGGATAAGTCATCTTCTAATATCAACGAAAGCACCAACAGGTGTGAAAAAGTAGGGAGTTATGAGAGGATTACTGCCTCAGTGCCTCCAAAAGATTCATCCAGGCATATATGCATTGGAGTATTTGTGTAACCCAAAAAGAGGTAAGAACTAAAAATACTTTGAACTTTCAGCATAGATATCCAATACCATCAAGGCTCACCCTTTTCTTATACTTTCCATTCCCTTTAACTGCTCAGCTATTCATGATAAAACTGGTGGCAAACAAGGAAAAAACTTGAAGCCAAAAGCTAGAATCTTCAATAACCCTTTGGCCTTTCATACTCTTGAATCTATTTAAATTCCTTAGCATACAGCATAAAACATCAACCTTCTTAAATTTTTTGGGACTAACTCCATTTTTGGCCCCTTGACTATAGTGAAATTTCTACAGTTTGTCCTCAATTATCAATTTGACCAAATTTAATATTGACCATTCCAAATTAACCAGTTTTAGTTCCTCAGGTTCTGTTAAGTAGAGATGAAAAAAGTCACAAGGCATGCATGTGCCATAACAGTGGTGTTATAATGGACAGTTCCCCACATTCTTCCCCAAAATTCTCGAAAACAAACAAACAAACAGATACCCATGAATGTTGGTGGTCATGACTAAAGGTAATGTGGCATTCATTCCTGGAGGCTAGGATGAATATAATAAATAACCATTGGGTCCATTGTTACTAATCACTGATGGCCATACCATTCAGCCAGCCATCATTCCTGATGGCAATATGTAATGGCCATTATCTTTGACCATGACTAGATCTAGCAATTGGCAATTTTTTTTTTTAATAATTAATAAATTGGGAATTTGGGGAAGTGTTACAAAGATATGTTACACCCCCTACAGCAATAGTTGAATTTTCAGTTATAGATCCCAAGTAAAACAAAAAGTAACAACTCAATCAATCAAAGTTAACAAGGCACTTGTACATATTACCTGTCATACTAACCTGACTTCTGCTTCCTTTGGAAGTGTTTAGCTCAGAAACTCTTTTTCTTTGGACTTGCAATCTCTCAATCATTTTCTTCCATCAACCTCCTTCCTGATTTGCATATCTACAATGGGTAAGAGGATTCTGGTCCAGCAATGTCTTGCTTGAGCTCCAGGGGATATTACCAACAAATATTAGTTTCATGACAAGTACTCATAGCCAGAATACTTGATAAATCATAGTAAGATTGACTGTGGTCAGGTTATAGTGATTGATAAATCGGATAGTTGGTCCAAGCTTCAACAAATTAATAAAGGACCCAGCAGTTGGAAAAAACAGAAATACAGTAATTAATATTCAGTAAACTAAAACAAATCCCACCCAACAGAAGCAAAAGATTTGTTCACTGGAAACGATGATCAAAACAAAAGCAAAGCCAACAGGTAAAAAAATATGGACTAATATAATTACGGAAAGGTGAATACATTAGAATGATACAATTGTTGCAGTAAATCTAATACTGGCTGACAGATTTCCCTAGCAAGAGAAATGAGAGATTTCTCTGAGAAGGTTAATTTGCACTGTGTATATAGCAAAAACTGAATAGCCTGTTGAAATTGGGATAATCCATCTAGATCAAGGATATAAAGATTATAATTATACTATAAACAAATAAAGTTCTCACAAAAACATTAGTTGAAATTTTTGTCTTGATTTCTTCTAGAAATTACATATTCCTAAACAAAGGTTCGGAAACTAACTCATAATCCTAAGTGCATTTCTTAAAGAAGGCGTCGATTTTTCGTGTCCCGTGGGGAACTGGCTTCTCGTCGGAGCGACTGCGGCTTGCTTTGGACGGTTGATGGGACGGCTGGGAAGGCATCGGGAGAGAGTCTAGGAGGAAATCGCTGGTGGGGCGGTGCCTCTTGACGGCGACCCGTAAGTGCTCCAGCTTCACAGTCTTCCTCTTCTTCTCTACTGCGACTTCCACCGATTTCTCGGCGAGGAATTCGAGAAAGAGCTCGGTGGATCGGGAGATGAGAAACAGTGCCTCCGAATTCACCTTCTTAACCTCGTCGTCCATCTTCATGATCTTCTTGATCCGACCCGTGGGGATTTGGAGGCGGCAGGTCCGTTCTACGCCATTTTCTTCGGGGAGTTCTTCTGCCATTGATGGTTTGGAGTTGAGCCTGCGCGGGTTGTTTGGAGTTGAGCCTGCGCGGGTTGTTTGGAGTTGGAAAATGTGGCTTCTTACACCCCTTTTAGGTTTTCTCAACTTTGGCGGGAAATTCACGTCCCTACTACATTTTTTAATTTTGATTCTGATTTTTTTTTTTAAATAAATAAACAAATACTCCGTATAATTTATACAGCAGTTTGTTTCTTTCAAAAAAATAAAAATAAAAATAAAAAAATACTCCGTATAAAATTCTTTTAAAAAAATATGAACTTTTTTTTTAAGGTATTAACTCTTTAAGCTTTAAGTAGGTTGAAAAAGTAGTTATGAACTGATAAAAAATTTGAACTTAAAAAATAAAAGTGCAATTAGAGCATCTCAATAGTAGTGATTTTTTTTTTGTGGCTTTTGAGATGCCAATTAAGATGGAGAGGAGGGGAAGACAGAAGAAGGAAAAATAGGCAAAAAAATTTTTAAAAAACAGGTCGTACGTGAAAAAAAAAAATAAATAAAAATAAAAACAAAACATAACATAACAACAGACGCTATAGTAGGTGTGTGTACTGTACGCGCCCGGCTGGGCGCGGTCTGTGTAGGCCACGTACGCGGCTTCGCTTCTCCTTTCCCTTTTTCCTTCCTAGTGGGCCCCACAAAAAACCGTTATTGTAGGAAGATCCAAACTCTCTCTCTCTCTCTCTCTCTCCCTCCCTCCTCCGCATAAGCTATTTTCTCCTCAAAAATTGTGAAAAAAAAATCACAGATGGATACTCTTAGCACTTTTAACACGTTATCATTAACCTTTCTTGAAAAAAAACAAGTTATTATTAATCTATTGAGTTGACATCTAGTCTAGTTAGTCAAGTAGCTAAATTGGTAATCACAAGGTTTCAAGTTTGATGTTAAATAACTATGGAAAACCTAGGCTAGTTTACCTCATTGTGGTTCTTTAATTTGTCGATTAAGGCCACAATACATCTTTTACTCAGAACGCACATCTTTCTCTCTCTCTCTCTCTCTCTCTCTCTATATATATATATATATATATATATATATATATATATATATATATATATATATGCCCTAGTTCACATGAAAACACTAATATATAGAGGACTATGAGTACAAATCATACCCATTCAATATAATCCTAGAGATTTAATGGCTGAGATATTGTCCATATAATGGTGTGATTCACGCCTGAAAATAATTAGAGAGGGCAAACAAGACATTTGAGATCAATTATAATTATGAAAGGATTCTAATTAACCAACATAGCATTGACGAAGGAGTATAATTATGGTAGAGTATAATTAACAAACATAGCATTAACGCCATGGTCAACAGTAAGGACCTCAACTCTGTGAATGTAATATTTACTGGAAGAGCAATACCCTCTCAGTGAGTGCAGGAATGCAGGGTAACGGGTTAGGAAACCGTGAGTCATGCATGATAAACATGTGTGCCATGATTTAGTATATCGTGTGCCTGATGATATTAAGTCGTGTGCCATAATAAAACCACAATACAAACTACATAACTTTGCACACAGTGTTGGGCGTAATTGTTTAATGATATATATAAATGGTGTGTATTAGTACTAAAACCAAGCACATAAAAGAATATAAGTTCGAGTGAACAAGTGGTTTCAGTAATTAATATATGCTTCACTGATTATCTTTTATTGAGTCATATGTATGTACATCTCGTGTGCCATATTTGAGGAAATCGTGTGCATATGATATTAAGTCGTGTGACACAATAAGACCACAATACAAACTGCATAACTTTGCACATAGTGTTTGGCGTAATTGTTTAATTAATGATATATATAAATGGTGTGCATTAGTACTAAAACCAAGCACATAACAGAATATAGGTTAAAGTGAACAAGTGGTTGCAGTACTTAATATATGGAGGTAATACATCCAATGGTCCTCCGAGTATTAGCGATTTACCAGATGTGGTCATCCGTGTTTTGAATGACCTCCAATGGTCCTCCATGTTTTAAAAAATAACCACATGTGGTCCTAATTCTTAAAAAAAATATGAGTTTAAAATGACCACGAGACGTCCTAAAAGGACCATGGGTGGTTATTCTTTAAAACATGGAGAACCATTGGAGGTCATTTAAAACACGGATGACCACAGCTGGTAAATCGTTAATACTCGGAGGACCATTGGAGGTATTAACTCTAATATATGCTTCACTGATTATCTTTTATTGAGTCATATATTTGTACATCTCGTGTGCCATATTTGAAGAAATCGTGTGCATCTTAATATTATGTTGTGTGCCATAGTAAGTAACCAGGAATCACGCGGGCAAAAAAAAAAGGGGGGGGGGGGGGGGGGGGGGTTCAACATTAAACACACTTATGCAATTACCCTAATACCCCACCCCACAATAATACTACATGATTCTGAATAAAAAAAAAGCCCTATTTAATGAAATACTCCCTCTGTTAGCATAAGGAATTATTATTATTCATTTCTCTTGTATTGTTTTAATATTATGTGGCTTAGGTAGTTTGACTCAGTTTAGCTATCTACTAGGATTAGTTACACTGAGATATATCTTGTAATCCTGATGTCACGTTTCAGTTAACGAAAACCTTTTCCAATCTGGTATCAGACTAGGTTCTTCAATCTCTCTCAAAACCTCCCCCACAATTTTTCCCCCTCTCTTCCCGCACCTCAAACAGCCATGTCTTCTGCTGGATCCGATTGCACGGCGTCAGACGGCCAAGCTCCGGCCGCCGGTGGCTCCCTCGCCGGAGCACACCACTACGTCACAATGAAACTCACGCTCAAAAATTATCTATTTTGGCGTATGCAAATTGTCTCCTTCCTCCGTGGCCAGGAGCTACTGGGATTCGTTGATGGCACTCTTCCATGCCCGCCGGAGCTCATCGTCGGTACACCGGCGTCTGACGACGCGACGTCCAGCGCAGCCGCCCAGTCCGAAGCCCCGAACCCAGCCTTCAAAGCTTGGGTGCGGCAGGACCAGACGATCATCTCCCTCTTGGTGTCGTCGATGGCGGATGAGACGTTGCATCTGGCCCTTGGGAGGAACACCTCGGCCGAAATCTGGGCTTCCATTACCGGCGCACTGGGTTCCTCGAGCCAGGCAAGATGCTTGAATTTACTATCGCAATTTCAGATGTTGAGGCAGGGGAATTTGACTACTGCAGACTATCTTGGCCGTGCCGGAGTGTTGGTGGAATCCTTAATCCAAGCTGGCCGGCCGCTAACCTTGATGGAGCAGAATCTCTACATCATCCGTGGCCTCCGTCCGGAGCTGAAGACGCTTGCGACTGCTCTCACTGCAACCGGCAGTCCCGTTACGTTATCTCATCTGTCTAACTATTTGCAGGCACATGAATTCATTTTGGTGGATGATTATCCATCGGTTGATAGCGGTGTGGTGCACACTGCAATGTATGCCGGCCCCGGGCGTGGATCTCATGGTTCGAATGGTGGCCGGAATCACAACAGGGGCGGTCGGAATGCTACCAGCGGCAGTGGCGGCCGGAGTCACAATCGCGGAGGCGGCCGTGGTGGCCGTGGGAATCCACGTTGTCAGATTTGTCGGTCACACGGTCACACGGCCGTGTACTGTTTTAAGAGTTACTCTACGCAACCACCTGCTCAGGCTCATGTAGCCGTGTCCGGAGAAGCACCATCATCATCAGCGTCACATGCTCCCGATGGGTGGTACCCCGACACTGGGGCCACTGCGCATGCAACCCCGGATGCGTCAATGATGGGGAATTCGGAGGAGTATGGTGGACTGGACGTGCTACGAGTTGGAAATGGGGCAGGTTTGGCGATCTCGCGAGTCGGTCACACGTCTATTCCATCCGAAACTAAAAATCTTCATTTAAACGATGTCTTACATGTCCCGCGTTTATCTGTCCCGTTGTTGTCTGTTCATAAATTTACTAATGACAACGTATTTTTTGAATTTCATCACAATTCTTTCTTTGTGAAGGATTCCACAACCAAGGAGGTGCTGCTTAAGGGGTCCACTTCTGGCGGGTTGTACAAGTTTCCACAGTCTCGGTCACAATACGCGTTCGTCAGTTCCCGTACTACACCCACCGTTTGGCATAACAGGCTTGGACACCCGCACATTCAAGTGTTAAATAAAATTCTGAAAAATTGTCCTGTCACGGTCAATAAAAATGTCACTCCAGAATCGTGTGCATCATGTCATCTCGGCAAGTCGTCAAGATTCAAGCTAGATAGTGTTTCCCATTCCAGTGCAAATGTACTCGATTTAATTTTTACAGATATTTGGGGTCCGTCCCCTGAATTGTCTAGTAGTGGTAATCGGTATTTTTGCTTATTTGTAGACGACTATTCCAGGTTCTGCTGGTTTTACCCATTAAGGGTGAAATCAGATATATATAAAGTGTTTGAGTCGTTTCGAGTTTTGGTAGAGCAGCAGTTTTCGCGCTCTATCAAGTCTATTCAATATGATCTAGGGGGTGAATACCGCAAACTCCACACCATTTTCCAAACCTTAGGTATAAATCATCGCCAGTTATGTGCCTATACACATGAACAAAATAGCACAGTTGAACACCGTAACAGGCATGTAGTTGAAACAGGACTCACATTACTTGCTGAAGGCAAAGTCCCGCAACAATATTGGGACTACGCTTTTGAAACAGCAACGTGCCTAATCAACTACTTACCGTCTTCCGCACTTAATTATGAAAGTCCCTACACTAAATTATTCAAAGTCCCACCACCCTATAATTTTTTACGTGTCTTTGGATGTCGGTGCTACCCACATCTCCGTCCATACAATCGGCACAAAATCGAGTACCGGTCTATACCGTGTGTCTTCCTAGGTTACCCACCCTCCTTTAGGGGATACAGATGTGTTGACTTGGCGACCGGGAAAACCTACATTTGCCGCCATGTGCGTTTTGACGAGGCTAATTTTCCTTTTGCAGTAGCAGGTGATTGTTCACAAGTTGCGCCAACACCGGAGGCACCTTGGGCGGTGGCACCCTTATGTCTACCCGCACCAAGTGATAGCCGTGTTGTCCCACCCAGTCCTGTGCTCTCTGAAAGTGAGCCCATACCGCTAGCGAGGGACCCCCCTCAGTTAGCAATTACACAGACTGCTCCGGTAAGGCCTCGCAAAAGGCGTGCACAACCATAGGGTCGTGATCATGTTATGCGCCTTCGTCATATGACTAAAGGCACGGCTAAGCCCTTTCATGCCTTGACAGCTGTTGCTGACCCAACTTGCTATTCACAAGCCGTGGGCCACCCGCACTGGCGCGAAGCCATGGACCAAGAGTTCAACGCACTATTACATAATCAAACCTGGCGTCTGGTCCCTCCGGAGCCACATATGAATATCATCGGGTGTAAATGGGTATTCCGAACGAAGCGCACTGCAGATGGGTCAGTTGAACGGTATAAGGCTAGGTTGGTAGCTAAAGGGTTCAATCAGGTAGCAGGAGAGGATTTCTTTGATACATTCAGCCCAGTAGTTAAGCCAACCACGGTACTACTCTTGTTTTCTCTAGCCGTAACCAAACAGTGGACTCTCCGGCAACTAGACGTTCACAATGCTTTTCTCAACGGGCATTTAGCAAAAACTGTTTATATGAAGCAACCACCGGGGTATGAGGATCCATCAACACCCGGGCACGTGTGTCATTTACAGCGGTCATTGTATGGACTCAAACAGGCTCTACGGGCCTGGTTTAAGCGGCTTCACGATTTCTTACTGTCTGCGGGTTTTCAATCGTCAAAGACGGATGCGTCCTTATTTTATTACACTGCAGGTATCTCTCGTGTATACCTACTAGTCTACGTCGATGATATTATTATGATGGGCAACGACAGTACACTAGTAGACACTATCCTCCAGCGGCTTGCTTCTACGTTCAAGATTCGAGACCTAGGCTCACCGGGTTTCTTCTTGGGTACCGAGACAGTATCTTCCTCCACTGGCATGTTCCTGTCTCAACGGCGTTATATGGCTGATCTGCTGGGGCGTTCGGGCATGGCCGACTGTAAACCCCTTTCTACCCCGGCTGCTGTCACAAAAGCTGTTTCACTATCCGAACAACTTTTTGACAATCCTACTCAGTATCGGCGCATTGTGGGGGCTTTGCAATACTTAACTATTACAAGGCCGGACTTGAGTTTCGCAGTCAACCGTCTTTGTCAGTACATGCATTCACCTACGGATGAGCATTGGGGCTTGGTAAAACGAGTCATGCGGTATGTGAAAGGGACTCTGAGTTATGGGCTACGGATATCGGCGTCTGCATCATTTGACATCCACGCCTATTCGGACTCCGACTGGGCTGGGTGTCCTGTGGATAGGAAGAGCACGAGTGGGTTTGCGGTCTACTTAGGTGACAACTTAATCTCTTGGCTCTCGAAGAAGCAGCGCACTGTGGCTAGGTCATCCACTGAGGCTGAGTACAAGGCCCTAGCAGATGTCTCGGCAGAAGTTACTTGGATTGTTTCGTTGTTGCGAGAGCTTGGGTTACACTCAGGGAAGCATGCAACGCTATGGTGTGACAACCTTGGGGCCACCTATCTGTGCGCCAACCCGGTTTTCCATGCTCGTACCAAACACGTTGAAATCGACTATCATTTTGTTCGTGACAAAGTGGCTTCCGGTGATTTTCTAGTTAATTACGTTTCTACGACAGACCAGCTTGCAGATATCTTCACGAAGCCGTTACCAGCACCGCGGTTCGCTGCTATGCGTGACAAGCTCAATGTTGTAGCCCTCCAACCTTGTGCTTGAGGGGGTGTGTTAGCATAAGGAATTATTATTATTCATTTCTCTTGTATTGTTTTAATATTTTGTGGCTTAGGTAGTTTGACTCAGTTTAGCTATCTACTAGGATTAGTTACACTGAGATATATCTTGTAATCCTGATGTCACGTTTCAGTTAACGAAAACCTTTTCCAATCCCCTCTTAATCTACACCATATTTGTCCTCATAGTCCTCTACAATATAGTTGCCCTCATTTGAATATATATATATATATATATATATATATATATATATATATATATATATATATATATATATATATATATATATATATATATATATATATATATATATATATATATATATATATATATATATATACAGGGACGAAGCCAGGAATTTTTCTCAGGGGGGCGAAGAAGTAAAGGCAACATAAATTTAAAAATGTTCAAATACAAGGTTCAAATACAAAATATCTAATACGAATATAATTGTCAACATATAAAATACATTATAAATTACAATACAAAGTTTATGATGAAGTACGGGATAATACTCCTCTACGCTCTCTCATCTTTTGAAATCGTTGTAGAATTGCTTCATTTGAAACTTGATCAAAAACATCCTTTTCAACATATGGCACTAAGCAATCATGTAAGAAATCATCACTCATCCGGTTGCGTAAAGATGTCTTAATTAACTTCATAGCAGAAAATGCTCTTTCCACACTAGCAGTTGCAACCGGTAGGATCAAAGACAACTTTAGAAGCAAATACACTAATGTATAGTCCAAATGTCTTCTCGTTTCCACAAGTTTTTGAGCTAATTGATCAATACCATCCAATTTAGAGAAAGCAGGATCAGAACTTACATCAATAAAATAAGTCTGCAGTTGATTATCTAGTAATTCAAGTTCAATATCAGAAAAATCATTTGGATAGAACTGTGCCAATCGAATTAACTTATCTTTATCAAACATAGCAAAGGAATTCCTTGGATCAAAACATGCCATAACTTATCTTTATCAAACATAGCAAAGGAATTCCTTGGATCAAAACATGCCACGCATAAGAGCAACTTTGTATTCTTCTCATTGAAACGGTTGTTTAGCTCTTGAAGTTGTAGATCTAAAACCGCACAAAACCTTTCAACGCGGTACCTATGAAGATGAGTCCTTTCTTCCACATTACGGCGAGGTCTTCCAGGAACTACATAAACTTCATCCATATTAGGTATGGAAATTGCATTCTTGTTGCAAAATAGTGAAACTTCTTTTAAAAGAGCTTCCCACCCATCATCCCTCATCATTTGCAACCTTTGTTTTGAGACATCAACTAGTCTCATGGCATTCACAATGTTTTGATCTTTCCTCTGTAATGCCTGTGACAAGTCATTGGTAATTGCTAAAACATCCTTCATTAAGTGCAAAAAGAATACAAAATCAAAACATAGGATATTCTTCAATACTCTAAATGCTTCTAGCCTTTGTTTTGGATCTTGCCTTAATTCGTCAAGAACATCAATCACCGGAGAAAATAATTTCAGAATGCTCACAAGTGCACCATAATGAGATCCCCAACGTGTATCACCAGGACGTTGTAAAACTACTTCTTGATTCAAACCAATTCCCGTTTCAATTGTATCAGCAGAAATTGAATCAATCAAAACCTGTAATTGTTTGTCTCGTAAGCTATCCCTTCGCTTACATGAAGCACATATAATATTGCACAATTGCGAGACAGTGACAAAAAAATCTCCAACATCCTCATTTTCCTTTGCAACACCCACAAGTGCTAGTTGTAGTTGATGAGCAAAACAATGAACATAAAAAGCACTTGGATTCTCATTCATAATCAAAGTCCTAAGACCATTGAACTCACCTCGCATATTACTTGCTCCATCATAGCCTTGGCCTCGTATTCTTGAAATGCTTAATCCATGCCTTGTTAGAAGATGTTCAATTGCTACTTTAAGAGACATAGATGTGGTATCACGAACATGAGTAATTCCAAGAAGACGCTCAATAATATGCCCACTTGAATCCACATACCGAATAAACACAATCATCTGCTCTTTCACCGATATATCTCTTGACTCATCAACTATTATTCCAAATAATTCTCCACCAAGATCATTGATTATCATTTCAGTTATCTCACTTGCAATTGCATTAACTATATCTTTTTGAATGCAAGGAGAAGTCATTTGGTGATTTTCCGGTGCATTTCGCATCACTACTCTGCCAACATCTTCATTATTATCTGCAAGAAACTTTAAGAGTTCAAGGAAGTTTCCCCGATTAAGAGAGTCGTAACTTTCATCATTTCCACGAAAAGCAAGTCCTTGCCTCAAAAGTAACCGGATGCATTTAACTGATGAAGTCAATCGAACACGGTAGTCTTGTTTCGATTGCTCCGAGTGTTTTGATACACAAACTTGTAAGTGTTGCTCTTGAGTCATTAAATCTCGACAAGCTTGTACGTTCCTTGCGTGAACACTATTATGATTACCAACATGTCCACGCAACTTTTCCGGTCCTTTTTTCCAATTGTTGAATCCTTCTGTGACAAATGATTCTCCCCCAGCTTGTTGTCCAATACTTTCATCTTTGAATAGATAACAACATAAGCAATATGCTGCATCTTCAGATACACTATACTCCAACCAATTGCTATGATCTTCAAACCATTTAGGATTAAATCTCCTATTAACACCCGTAATCACTCTAGAAGGAAAGACATGATTTTTTGGTTGACAAGGACCCATTTGTAGATACCGTCTCCGCACAATATCTCTATCATTGATATGATATTCATATATATTTTTTCTTTTACCTGGATCAACTTCAAGTTCATCTCTGTCTACTTCAATACGAGGCCTTGCACTTGACACTTCGGGACTACTTTGATTAGATGAATCCCCAAAAGTTTATTTTCTTTTGAAAAAATTTTCCATAGCTGAATCAATAAAATACAATATAACTAAGAGTCTAAGATTTAAGAAAATTATGACAAAAACAAATGCACCAAATTGGCCATCACTGCCTCTAGAAAATTAATATTATAAAAATTAGGCCCAGGCCACTGCCTCATTCGGCCATCACTGCGACACTGCCTATATGCCTCTAGAAAAATCAAACATGAAACATATATTTATTTTTCAAGCTAAGCCACTGCCATACATATTTTTCAAGCCACTGCCATTCAATTATTTTTCAAGCCACTGCAACACCAATTATAAATTCACATTCATACACTGCAACACCAATTATAAATTCACATTCATAAATTCATAATTGATAATTCATAAACACAAACTGATAAACAAATTTATGTATTCAAGTATTCAATCAAACATAAATTGATTAAAATAAAATTTGAGTAATTAGGGAAATTAAAGAAATTAGGGCAAAATTAAAGACCTGAGTTTTGGAGAGGCTTAGGCGCTGAGAGCTTGAGGGTCGAGTCTTGAGTGGTGTTGCCGTCGTGCCGACTTGCCGTGTTGTGCCTTGCCGCTGTTGCCGGAGATGAGGAGTCGTAGAGACTATAGAGAGACCGGAGACCGAGGGCGAGCAGAGTCGTAGAGAGAGACCGGAGAAATTCTACGGAGTATTAGCCAAATAAGAAAAATAAATAAATAAATAAATAAATATATATATATATATATATATATATATATAGGGTTGAGTTCAAATGAGGACAACAATATATAGAGGACTGTGAGGACAAATAATGGGCACACAACAAATTAATTTCTGGCACACAACTTAATACATAATGGCACACAAGAATAAATGTAAACATCAGGTTTCGAACCCAGGCTCTATAAATTAACAAATCTAGCACGCGACATACAGACTGTGGCACACGACTACATTCGGCCATGCACACGTCATACCGGCTAATGGCACACACTACATCTGTCCTCACAGTCCTCTATAATATACTTGTCCTCATTTGAATACACATCTATATATATATATACACACACACACACACACACACACATATATATATATATATATATATATATATATAGAATTAGGTTCTGGTGCGGTTAAAGTGCTCAGGTGCGGTTGTGCGGTTTAATTTGGGCCATTCATCTCGCTTAAATCAACGTTCAAGATTAAAAAAAAAAAACGCGGTGGCAATTTTGTCATTTTTGAATCTAGGTCAAAATTAATGTGAACGGTTCTATAATTAATGTGCGTTAGTTTTGTATATAAGATGCGTGAGTCTTGTGCATAAGGTGCGTGAGTTTTGTGCTTAATGTGCGTGGGGTTGTGCTTAATGTGAGTAGTTGGTAAAATTTAAAGTGTGGGCTTTTGTGTTTAAGGTGCGTGAGATTTGTTCTTAATGTGAGTGGAGTTTGTGCTTAATTTGCGTAGTGCTTGTGCTTAATATGTGTGAGGTTAGTGATTAATGTCAGTAATTGTTGAAACTTAAAGTCTGTGAGTTAATACTTAAAGTGTGTGGGTTTTGTGCTTAATGTGCGTGAGATTGTGCTTAATGTGCGTGGATTTTGTACTTAATGTGCGTGAGTTTGTGCTTAATGTCAGTAGTTGTTGAAACTTAAGGTCTGTGAGTTAATACTTAAATGCGTGAGTTTTGTGCTTAATCTGCGTGAGATTGTGCTTAATGTGCGTGGGTTTTGTACTTAATGTGCGTGAGTTTATGCTTAAGATCTAACACTTAAAAGTGCGTGGCTTTCTTCCAAACATGCGTTTTTTTTTTTTTAATTTTTATTGATTTGAGCCGTTGATCTAGATCAACACTTAATCTTGTGCAATGAATCTAATAAAATATATAATTTTAGTATAGCTTAAACTGAATTTGCACCACACTTGATCTTGTGCAATGAATCTAATAAAATATATAATTTTAGTATAGCTTAGACTGAATTTGAACTAGTTAAGTAAGAATGTATAAACAATTAATGGACTAGAAACTAAAGGGGAATGTTATTCAACAAATTATTGTGTGGACCATGGTCCACATAATTGTGTAGACCATGAATATCAGGTACATTTTTAATATATTAAAAGTACATTATTTTTGTACTGAAAGCACATTATATAAAATAATGTACCCTTAATATATTAAAAATATACTTTAAAAAAATGTACCTTACGTATATAAATAATGTACCCTTATTATATTAAAAATGTACTTTTCATTTATGGTTCATACAATTGTATGGACCATGGCCCATCTAATAATGATTGATCTTATTCTATGCGGGCTTGTCAATTGCATCATATAATAGCACCACAAGACCAAATTAAACCAAATAATCAAAGTAGCATAGTCAGTGAGCCAAAATAATTTTGTTTTAATAGTAAAATTAGTCTTTCTCCCATAGTAAAATTAGTCTTAAGTGTACTTTAGAGCAACCAAGACGAATTTTTTAAGATTGTTTTTTTTTTTTTTTTTAATTTTTAGCTTAAGTGGAAGAGAAAGGTGAAAGGAGAGAGAATAGAGAAATACATTATATTGTGCAAATTGTGATTTTTTGTATCACTTACAAAAAATTCAGAAACAGTTGCAATAGGTATGCGTTGAGCGCACTTGTCGCGCCTAGCAGGCGCGTGCACACTCCACGTGCCAGGTTGGCGCTTAAAAGACCTGCATATTTCTTTTCTTTTATTATTCTCTTTGTTTTTTTTTTTTTTTTTTTTTTTTTTTTGTTTTTCATTTTCCCCCAACCCTCTATCATGGTTGGCATCTAAAAATAACGATAAACTTCAACTAATGAAGATGCTCTTAATAATAAAACTACTTCTTGACGTATTGATTAACTATATAATTAAAAATTGACTTATTTAATATTAAACTAATCATGCATGGTACAACCCAAATTATGAATATTTTATCACGAAAGTAAGAGCATCCTCATTAGTGGCAGAGATGAGTATGAGAGAGAACATGGGAGAGAGAAGGGATAGAAGGGAAAAAAAAAACCAAACAAAAGTATTACTCGTCCAGATGATGAGGATTAGATTAACAGTGGTCACGTAATACAAGCCTGTACAATAGAGATAGAGAGAGATAGAGAGAAAATCCTAATGGACTACAAACATAAGAGTCCTAACACTCCCCCTCAAGCACAAGGTTGATTAGCTGCAACATTGAGCTTGCCACGCAGATAAGAAAAACGAGTAGATGGGAGAGCCTTTGTGAAAATATCAGCTAGCTGATCCTTTGTAGAAATAAAGTGGAGCTGAATCTCCTTCTTGGACACCTTTTCACGAATGAAATGATAATCAATGTCCACATGCTTCGTTCGGGCATGAAAAATTGGGTTGGCACACAAATAGGTGGCACCCAGATTGTCACACAACAGCATAGGCGCAGAAACAGGTGGTAACCCAATCTCCTTGAGCAGAGAAACGAGCCAGGTAGTGACCTCAGTTGACACATCTGCCAAGGCCTTGTACTCAGCCTCAGTGGAGGAACGTGCCATGGTGCGCTATTTTCGACACGACAAAGAGACCAAGTCGTTACCTAGATAAATCGCGAAACCACTCGTTGACTTCCGGTCATCCGGATTACCAGCCCAATCCGAGTCCGAGAATGCATGAATATCAGCAGATACAGACATGCGAATACAAAGGCCAAAACCAAGCGTACCTCTAACATACCGCAAGACCCGCTTCAACATATTCCAGTCAGTTGTGGTGGGAGCATGCATATGCTGACAAAGCCTATTAACAACATAAGACAAGTCCAGGCGAGTTACTGTCAAATACTGTAGCGCACCAGCCAGACTCCGGTATTGAGTAGGATCAACATAAGGAGTTGGCGCAACATCATCAGACTTGGCGAGTGAAATTGGTGTAGAAACAGTTTTGCACTCAACCATACCCGCACGCTTAAGAATATCTTGCATGTAACGCTGCTGAGAAAGAAACACACCGTCAGATAGCGGCACAATCTCAATACCAAGGAAAAAGAACAGAGCTCCCATATCACAAATCTTGAACTCTTGAGCCAGCCTAGCCACAAGACCTGTCACACGGTGTGAATCTGAACCCATGACAAGGATGTCATCTACATACACCAAAAAATAAAGTTGCGC